TGTACCTCTGGTGCAAATTACTGACCTCTGTCATCATTTTAAGTGGGGGAACTTGCACAATCGGTGGCTGACTAAATACTTTTTTGCCCCACTGTATATACATTCATATGCCATTAAATGTAGATTATTAACAGATTATTAAAAATTAATATAGAGAACATTTTATAAAGTTACCCCAATTTTGCCTTCAATTAAGTTGTCCTTATTAATTACAAGTCTTTTTGCATTTTTTTATACATCTGTGCTTCTTCATGCAAATATGTCATTCTGTAATTAGATCCAGATTTCATCTATTAGTTGATCAACACCAGCTAGATGGTAAATGCCTAGGTTCTTCAGAAATGCTGCTGATACTTTAAATACTTAAAAAATACTGTTTTTTTAATAATAGTTGGTCAATAATTCTGTTTACATCTTCACGTGAATACATAAAATGAGTATGTATGTGATATCTCTGGGTTACTGGGTTACAGGATTTGATGTATTTGTCGAGAAATACAAAGGCAAAGCAACAAAATAACAAACTCAGGTTTTTATTCTAAGTTTGATCTCTCAGAGAATCATAATATTCAACCACTAGAACAATTTTTCTCTCTTTAGGAATGCAAATAAATAACTGTAATTTGTCACTCTAATCAAACTTGCTTTATTTTTATTCAGCTTTTCAATGATAATAACAATAATTATATTTTAGCATTAAAATATAATTTTTTTTAAAGAACTTGGGGGTACTGGTTGTTTTAACCATTAGAAACATACAAAATGATTTTGATAGTAGATTTGTAAAGCAGTGTTAATACAGTAGATGAAAATCTTAAGATATACATGGAAAATGAATGAATACAGTGATAAATAAATACAGAAGAAAATGAAAAACTAGTGGTTTATATTACATTTAATACATTAGATAATTCACTAATGTTTGACCTTAGATGTTTCAGTAATGCATAATTTTAAAACTAAACCTGTTCTACCATTTACATACATACTAGATAATATTTTCTGAAGTCAAAAGGACTGTGAGTTTTATTTTTGAGTTTGCCAGCAGGAACTGGGTGAGTAGTCACCTGTTTTTACTTTTATCTTTCACTCACTCGTGGCCCTTGATTTTACTTTGGCAAAAATTGTAGCCTTGACCTTTGTGTGTTTCTGTGAATACTGATGTGTTATATTTTGTCCATCCAGGAACTCCCAAAGCTGCTGCAGGACCTGGCCACTACAGACGCTGACCTGCCGTGGAACAAGTCCAAAAATCGTTTCCCAAACATCAAACCTTGTATGTTGCCAGGCTGAAATTAGTTTTTCAAGGCCGTTGCGCCTACAACGTACCAGAATTGTTCCTATCTCTCATTGCTGTTTGCTTCACTGTGGTCGCATTTCATATATTTAAATTCAGCTGTATTATTATCCCTGTACTGTTTTTAGATAATAACAACCGAGTGAAACTGCTGTCTGAACCTGGCACTGCAGGCTCAGACTACATCAATGCCAGCTTTGTCTCAGTGAGTACCAGTTAGTCACGATTCTGTCAGATAGACATCCACATACTGTACATAAGGGTAGATGTAAGCCTCCCCGTCTCCTTTTTTCTGTGTCTGCAGGGTTATTTGTGTCCCAATGAGTTCATAGCCACCCAGGGCCCTCTGCCGGGCACTGTGGCTGATTTTTGGAGGATGATCTGGGAAACGGGAACCCGCACTATCGCCATGCTCACTCAGTGTTATGAGAAAGGCAGAGTGCGTATGAGAGATTTGTCACTGTTAGAAAAAAAACATCACCGCTATTAGCATTCAGAGTACAAGCTAGTATTTGGGCTTCATTCCCTGGATGCTTATGTCTGCTCTAAAGAGCTGATGTATGTGTGTGTGGGTGTGTGTGACATTTCAGATTCGATGTCACAAGTACTGGCCTGAAGACAACAAGCCGATGTCAGTGTTTAGTGACATTCTCATCTCAAAGGTGTCAGAGGAAGTCTTTCCTGACTGGACTATCAGAACTCTGAAAGTAGAAAAGGTATGGCGCTAATAACCTCCGTCAAGTGAGCATTCACCGGCTACCACGCACACATGCACACTTACAGTGCACACATGACTTGAAATATATGTGTGCATGCAATAGTAATATTAGTTCATGTCAATGATACAGTATTGTTTGGTCTATTTGTGCACCTGGAAAGTGGAGATACTTAAAAAAATTGCATGTTTTTACAAGTCACCTGCAATGCTCAGGTTCTGCTCTACTATATCAGTGTTATTTTAATTCTTTGATAAGTGGTTGCTAGGCAACATGGTGCCATTTTATTATTATTATTTTATGAGGATAAATTGGCTTTTTTTGTTTAGTTTAGTTCTTTTATTTTTTACAATTAAAAAAGAAAAAGCAACTTCTCTTTTCTTCAAAAATAACTAATAAGATTTAAAAGAATATAAAAAATAAAAAAAAACATCTGCTAATATGCCCCCACTTCTCCAGCTCCTCTAATGAATTAACCTTTGAAAAGGTTTGCTTTAAAAAACCTTTTCAAAGAATATAGTTTGGTTTATTAAAACAGGCTGAACAATTTACACTTCTGCTAAACTAAAGTACAGGTTTACTGGATTATTGATGAGCGAATAACATGGAAAAACTTGATGAAGAACAAAAAGGCATTAAACTGATTAAGTATGGATGAAACAGCATCATCCACTGACTGCAAAGACAACATGTTTGCTTTATTAAGGGGTGCAGGTGGAAAAAGTGATTCAGTGATGTGCATAAGGTAGCCATCAGAAGACACTGTTGAATGTAAAGTAATGTTGGGACTCTAGGCTGTCCGGCTACCCTTTTCAAGCTAAACTGGTATTTATGTCGAGCTCTTCCAGTTTTATAGGAATTTGGGAGCAGTAAATAATTTTTCCTACAGCCAATAAGGAGAGCTCAGACTAAGTTCAGACTTGTCTTTTGAGACTCTTGGTGTCAAAAGCACTGGTTTCTTAGTAGAACCCGTAATATGAATTTTAAAAGTAATGGTGGCACTGCTCAATATTGGGGTGATAAATTATCACAATTATCAGAATTTTATGTTATATAAGAAAATATATTAAAAAAAAAAATCTTGTAAACTCTATGTAATAAAGCTGAATGATAGGGGAGGCTTTACATCTTTGTAGAACTACATGTGTTTCATAGGAAACAGAGTGTAGGCCTACTAACCATCTTGTTTTGGTAGTAAGACGTGCAGGCATATTGAGGATGCTCACACAACCTTTTAGTTTGGAATTACATTTCTGATTACATTAAGAAAGTTTTGTTTTGACGTTTCTCCATCAGTAGTTTGATGGCTTGAGAGAGCCTACATCCTTTTAATTAAATTTTTTATTGTTAGAAAAATAATAAATGTTATCTCTGTTATCACTGAAAAACACCTGCCATAAAAACAGAGTTTATAATTGACTTCCTGTTATGTGTGTTCCTGTCCTGCAGCATGGGCACTACATTTTGGTCCGCCACTTCAATTATACATCGTGGCCTGAGCACGGCGTTCCAGAGTCTTGCAGTACGCTCATTAAGTTTGTCAAAGCTGTCCGAATGCACAGGCAGGACAATAGCACTATTGTTGTCCACTGCAGGTACGCTATCAGCTTCGTGTAAGGGAGACTAACATTGCATGAACTATAGCAAAATATTTAATTTTTGGTCATTAAAATTGAGTCTCATATCAACAGATTATCAATAAATGCTTCACTGTCAGTAATTTCATATCCTCTTTTGTATTACACCTACAAATAAGACCTAAATCCTTTTGTGTGGTATAACAGTGCAGCTGAAAGTATAATGGCATTTGCTCTCTTGTATTTTCTTTAGCGCTGGCGTAGGAAGAACAGGTGTGTTTATTGCTTTGGATCATCTTATTCAGCATGTCAGAGATCATGACTTTGTCGATATTTATGGGCTGGTGGCTGAACTGCGCAGCGAGCGGATGTGTATGGTACAGAATCTGGTAAGTTTACCATAAGTGCAGCAGTATGTTATCCTTTTGCATGTGAGCTTCATGGTAAATAGAATAAATATGATTTTTTTTTTATTTATTTATCCTAAGTTCTTAAGAATCATCAAAGACTGACAAATGGAAATGTAGCTGCCCTACTTTTTACTTTGTACCCTGCTGTGATCTCATCCCCATCAGAAGATATTCGGAAAATTTTAGTATTGACAAAGGGAATGATCTGGCGGTGGATTAAAAGCAAGCGCTGAGCAGGATTCCCTCTTTTGAAACAGCTTGAACCTTTCCTATATTTACCCTAGTGTTTACTTGTGGACTGCTGATTTGTCTGTCAGTGCCTGTATAGACTCTCTGCCTGCTGTGGTTACTGTGCTTCTTCTGTGTAATTGTTTTCTTGTTGCTAGACTTTCTCCACGTCTTTGTGAACATTATCTGGCTGTGGCTGAGCCTGTAGTGTCTGCAGCTACGAGAGCTGTGCTTGCTGATGGCATGATTCTTTGAGAGTTCAGTTTTCAGTGTGCCAGGCTAGCTATTAGTACAATGCCTGAGGACATCATTCATATTGATTATTTTACAAACTCATAAATGTCCTTGCTGAGACTCTGAAGCAGAGTGCCTTTTTCAGACGGCTTTAAAAAGACACTTTAAAAGTTTTCTACAGTCATTGATTTGAGCTACTTATGTGTTTATGGCATCAAAGGGTTGATGTTGTTGTAAAAGTCCATCAGATTTTGCAAACGTAGTTCCAGTTTCCTACTGAAATAAAAAGACCATGCATGACAATTATTATTAATTACATAAGCCACAAGTACTCAAACCACACATAGGACTAAACAATACACTTGAAATGTCAAAGACTGGGCCTGTACTGGCTAATAGGCTCTATCATTCTGGTGCCTTTAGTTCAGTATTCATGAATTACACAACTGCTGTTAGTTCAAACTATAGAGATAAGGACAGAATTATTTGGAAATATAGTTGGGAAGTATTTCAAGTCCTGTTAAACAGAATAAGGAGTTTTTAACACATTTCCAAACATCCTAGTTTGACTATTGCTAATAGACAGCTGTGTTTTGTGCTGGATAACAGCTTACAGTCATTTACAATCATGTTCCCTGAGCAAGCCCAGCCAGCTTTGCTTTGACTAATCTCTCAAATTTCAGTTCACCCCAAAGATTTTCGATGGATTCAATTTCAGGCCAGTTCACTTTGATCTTCTGGACGTAGTTTTTCACCATGTTTTTGGTTGTCATCTTGGAAGACAGAGCGACAACCCAGAACCAGTTTTTCTGCACTGCTGAGTGCTTGAAGTTTTCTTTCAAAATCCTTTATTTGGAAGTAATGAAACTAAATAAAACGTCCAAAGCAAAAACCACCAAGAGGTGTTGTCGTCACAGCCATTAAGATACCAAAGTATTTTTGCACATCTCAAATCATCCATCTATTCATTCATTATTTTAACCACTTAATCGCCACGTAAAGCAGCAAGAAATTTTGAGGAGGGTTGGCCGGACAGGTCACCAGTTCATTATATGGCTTCTCACAGAGATGCAAAGCCTTTCACGCGCAGCCAATTTACATGTCTCTGGCTTTAAATCACCTCTGTTAAGTTTTAGTTCTGAAAAATAAATCAAGTGGTACAATCTTCGTACCACAGCAATTCAAACTTAATCTGCTTTTCCCACTCTTTTGTTAGGACTATATCATTGTTCATATCAACATCTGTTCTTTGTGTGATTAATGCAAAAGAACATATGGTCTGAATAAGCAGAAATATGTCTATGCATATGTGTGCTGTCAGGCCCAGTACATCTTCCTGCACCAAAGTACGCTGGAACTTCTAAACAACAAAGGCAACAGCCAGTCGATATGGTTTGTTAGCTACTCTGCTCTGGAGAAGATGGACTCCCTGGATGCCATGGAAGGTAAATATATGAGGTCATACTTAAAAAAACAAACAAACATGCAGCTCAGTGCTCACCTCACAAGGTTGTATTGCTCTTCAGGTGATGTTGAACTGGAATGGGAGGAGACCACTATGTAAAAAAACTGACTAAGGAACATCTGTGAGATTTCTTTGGGGGGTTTTGTGCGTCACTGTCACATGACCTGTGGGCAGATCCTGGAGATGGAGAGGTCCATCCCCACAAACCAAAGTAAGAGCAACAGGAGATGAATATCTGCACTCAACGATCTGTCTGAAGAACTCCACTCAGTCCACTTCAAAATCTGTTCCGAGCACAGTCGTCTTTATATTGAACCTTTTGAACACTTGTTTCCAAAGACACTGCGAGGGAAAAAAGTGAAGAGCAGGGACAAAGAAGTTCAGAAAGGACAGGAATAAATGAGACATTGTGAGCTGATCGTGAGAGCTCTATCACAAGTGTAAGCCTACAGGTATTTGCACAAATCGATTTCACTGTCTTATTATTATTATGTATTATGTTCATATCATCTGTGTTTTTTTAAGGTAATTGTTTTCAGCCAAAGTAGTGTTGGGGCTTTTCAGTCTCTTTATAACTGTGTTGAGATGTTCGTTATCCTTTCTCAAGAGTGATTTGCAAAATAAAAGAAACAATCAAGACTTTCTCCACTTGACTGTTTCATCAAATGTCTGCACTTTGACGTTGCAGTAGGGAGTTACAAATTAGTGAGTCTTGCTGTTTCAACAAGGGAAGTCTGCAGTAGCTTAATAGCTAACATAACCGTTAAATCCAAGGCTGTGGTTATATACTCACTAGGCACTTTGTTGGATGCATCATTTCAGCTGCATATTAGCACACACATCAGAAACATTTAAGCATTCGGCTTGAGACGACCTGCGGAGGTTCAAACTGAACATCAGAACGGGGTAGAGGGATGGTTTAAATGACTTTGAATGTGGCATAATTGTTGGTGCCAGACGGGCCTGTCTGATAAAAACTGCTGATCTGCTTGAATTTTTCTGCACAGCCCATCTCTGTGGGTTTGCAGAGGATGGTCTGAAAAAGAAGAAATATCCACTGAGCAGCAGTTCTTTGGGAGAAAAGGCCTTGCTGTTACCAGGCGTTCAGGAGAATAACTCAAATAGCCACTCTTAACAATCAAAGTGTGCAGTGGAGCATCTGTGAATGCACCACATGTCAAATCTTGATGTCAAGCCTTGAGGCTACAGCAGCAGAAACTGAGGGCACATGCTCACAAAGACTGGGCAATAGAAGACTGGAAAATACTTTGTTTAATGAGTGTCCGCTTCTCCTGCTGTAGAGTTCAAATTTAGCAAAAACAACTTGAAAACATTGGTCCATCCTGTCTTGTATTAACAGCTCAAGTTCGTGTCTCGTAATGGTATGAGGGATATTTTCTTGGCACACTTTCAGCCTCTTAGTATCAGCTGAGCACCATGTGTATGTGTGTGTCACAAAGCTCATATCATCTCAAACTGCTTTCTTGACAATGACAATGAGTTCACTCTACTCAGATGGCCTCCACAGTCATCAGATTTCAATCGTGTAGAGCTCATTTGGGGTTTGGTGATTCTCATCATGGATCTTCAACTGACAAATCTGCAGCGACTATGCAATGATATCATGTCAATATGAACCATGATGTCTGAGGAATGCAAAAGGACGCTTTTAAGAGATTACTATTGGCCAAATGATAGCATTATTTCTGTAAATGGTCCCCATCTTTAGATATGTGTCTTTTATTACTACAGCACAATTTAGAGCAGATTTTATGGACAGGTTTGTGCATATGGATCAGGTACCTGCACAAGTCATTGGACCCATCTTCGAGAACCACTACAGCAGACGCATATGACATTCAGACACCTCAGATTCAGTGTTACTTTGGGGGCAGGGGGTTTGGTGGAAGGACCTCTAATGAATGAGTTCAGACCAGGTGTGCTGGAATGACAGCGAAACACCGGTCAGACTGATTTCCCATAAGCTCCTTCATTCCGCCATCCTCCCTGCACACCTGCTGCAAATTAATTCATTAGAAAGGCAGAGAGTGCTTCATACACAGACACCGTGGAGACGCAAGACTGAGAGTAAAAACTACTTTATTCTTTCATTCTCTTCAAACAGAAAAATTAGAAATTCTTTTAGTAAACATGTTGATCTTTAAGAAATCTCCTTTATAGAAATATTGTGACGGTGCAGAGATTAATGACAGTGCTCCACAGTGAGGATGCAGATTGGTGCATCTCCATGACAACCACGGAGAAGGCAAGGGGTAAGGGTAGAAAAGAGAAGGGGGGAGAGGGAGTAGAGCAAGAGAGAGAAAGGAGAAAATGACATCAACAAAGCAAACATGCCCTGACAATAATAACGAAAACGTAGACTCAAACTCCTCCTGTGTACTGTAAATGAAAAAAACAAAGCGAACAAAAAAAGCAAACAAAAAAAATGTGTCATGCGGTATAGTACAAGTCAGAGTTTACAGTAAACAAAGTGGGGTTACTGACTTGAGAAATCAAGCAGTTTCAAAGGTAAGTCTAAGCTTAAATTTGTTGTTGCTTTGGCAGCCGTGTGCATGTTTGCGTGTTTGTGTGATCACATGTGCAGCTGTTTGTTATGCTAGTGTGTGCGTGTGTGTGTGTGTGTGTGTGTGTGTGTGGCGTGACTTGTGGTGTACTGTACGTATTCACCAATACAGCATAGCCCTTTGCATACCTTTACAGATGACACGCAGCCATCTCTTAATAATCCTGTAGTAACATGACATGGTAATTTAATGGCAAGTGTAGATCTGTAATAATGTCACGTATTCTATAAAAGCTGCCTGTTTTCTGTCTCTTATCACATATAGGACTCCCCCCGATATTAAATGTGAATAATAGTAACTATAATAACTATAATATTCTTTTTTTCTTTTAAACTAGATTTTCTCTGTACAAATACATACGTAGATACACACACTGGGCAAAGCAATCACTTTTTTCAGAATAAATATATATTATCTATTTACAATATATCCAGTATATTCTGTGGTGCAAAAAGGTACAAGACGTGTTTGGTATGTCTCAGTCGGATGATTCGTGATGTGCTGTACAAACTGGCTCGAAACCATCAAGACAGACGACACGTGAGGAAATCAGTTATTATTCCACGGACATCTTCAGTTTTCCCCCTGATTTAACATTCAGTACACATGTGCATGTCTGCTTATATAATATTTTCATTGCGTAAGGAGAATATAAATAGGTGAGAGGGGAGACGTGGTCTAGTGAGGTGATTTGGGTCAACCCTGTGTAGAGCATTTTACTTCATTTTAATATAGTTTTGGAGGTATAGCTGTAGGAAATCAAGCCTTCTCTTGAGTATGATGGTAGCAGATGGCACTTTGTCTTGTGGTGCTCAAAGCACCAAAAAATACACATCAGAAAATTAGTAGCAATGTGATTTCTAGAAATCAAAATCCAATTTATCAAAAAATAAATAAATAAAGTAAATAAAAAATTCACTTCGGATCGATTCAAATCTTGTTGTGAGCAGTTTTAATGTGTCCACCCTTTAATGGACTGGCTGCCTGTGCGGTGTGCCCTGCCTCTCACCCTTGATCCTGAATATAATAATGGATGGATGCCTACAACTCAAACTCCAGGAAAGTTCGGACAATGTGGAAAATGTCAATAAAAACACAATGCAGTGATTTGAAAATCTCATAAGCACATTAAAAAAACGTGTAAACAAATGTTTAATCTGAGATATTTTATGATTCTAGGAACAATATTACGCTTATTTATAATTTGATGGCAGCAACCCATCTCAAAAAAGTTAGGATGGGATCAACAAAAGGGGAGGAACAGCGTGCAAATATAATACTAAATAAAGGTTAATTGGTCAGTAACATGGCTGGCATCTTAGTGAGGCGGAGTTTCTAAGAAGCAAAGATGGCAGAGGTTCACCAACCTGCAAAAAACAACATCTACAAATTGTGGAACACTTTCAGAATATTGTTCCTTAATGTAAAATTGTAAAGATTGTCAATATCTCATCATTAACAGCACAATGGGCCTTCATGCAGCACTGCTTTGAAAACAGGCATGATTCTGTCATACAGTAAATATCACTGCATGGGCTCACAAATACTTCCAGAAATCACTCTCTGTGAACACAAATTGCCATCCACAAATGCAGGTTAAACAACCATAATGTGAAGATGATCTAGAAAATGTGTAGTCTTCTCTGGATCATTTAAAATGGACTAAGGCGCAGTGACGCTGCATCCTCTGGTTTAAAGAGGATAGGACACCACCACGTCTATCAACAAGACAGTGCTACAGCAGGTGCACTAAACTGCGGAAATATTACAACAACACGGCTTTGCTGACACAGAAGTAAACACGGCCATGTCACAACATTTTTTTAGATGGATTGCTGCCATCAAATTCCTTATCTTTACATTATCGGGGGGGCGGTTCCCTCAATTTGAACATTTAGTATGTTTTCTATGTTATATTGTAGATAATCATATGGGATTGTGTGATCTGCAAACTGTTGCATTATGTTTTTATTAATTTTTGGGGGGGGGATTGAGTTGTACATCCAACCAAAAAAGTGTTCAGGTACAAAACATTACAGCTCAGCACCGGGACCTCTTATTTACATCCTATCATGGTTATGCCTCTTGTCATAGATGCTTCCTTCTGCCATTTTTTCCACTTTTAGCAGTGCAAGGCAAGTGCTATCTACAGTAACTCCATTACATTCAAAAGAAGGCAGGCATGTCCACAACTGAGCAACTCAAACCAGAAGAAAAAAAAATCTAGATGTAAAAATAGCACTATAAAGCATAAGGAAAACATGTATATTTGATTTTTGGATAACGTTTTCTTTTTAGGTTTCCCTAAATCCAAAGGTGACATCCCTATGCACAAGGCAACCTGTTTGGAGTAAATAGACAGGAGGAGAAAGGCTTCTTTTAGCCTTGGTTAGGATAAATTACCAGCCTGGCTCCCTGTTGCCCATGGGTAAGCAGGCTGAACAAACAGTACAGAAGCACTCTCCCCTCAGTACAACTCAGAGGTGCAGATAAAGTGTTACATGTTGCAATGCAGCAGACTCTTTCCTGAGCTGTGTGAGAGCACAACTTCAGAATCACAGCATACAGATACTGTGAGGATATCTGCTATCTGTTCAATTTTAGAAAATCATGCAACAGTGAAGCACCGAATCATGATTGTCATCAGGATATTAATTTAGGATAGTTTAGTTAGTAGCAGCATCCTTGCTTACTACACTAACTCGTAGGTGTTAGAGGCGGTACGGCAATTTATCTTCTTTGCCTTTTTTCACGCACACTGATTATGAGTTCCCTAGAAAATGGAGAAACAAATAAGCTGGTGCTCTTGTTTCTTCACATTATGCAGAGATGAAGGAAAATGATTATGGTATAAAGTAGTTAGATTAGCTGCAAAACGATCCCTCACTGAGTGTGGTAATACTGAAAACGGGGAGATGCCATGAACATCAATATCCTCAAAGAAAACAGAATCTTCCCCTTTTTTTTAAGATATGTCATGTCTTTTCAGGGTGCTTTTTTCTGACACTCCAAGCTCACGTACACTTGTTGGATAGGCGACATTTAAAAATGCTAAGTCACCATACACCCAACAGCGTGAAATCCAGACAGACAACAACAGCTGCTACCAGGTGACAGGCTGAAGAGAAAAGAAAGAAGAAAAGTCTTTCAGAAATACCATCAAAGCTACTCCATGTTTAAAAAGCACACAGCCAAGTTAAGACTATAAATAAATTCTGAGGAATGCATTTAAGTCACACAATATAATCTTTACTTTTTTTTGCACTTCTTTTGTCTTACTATTCAAAGTAAGCTGACTTGTGCTCCAGCATGTGTTTGTTGAGTGTGAGTGTGCGGATCTTGTCTGGCGCAGGGAGTTTGTTACGCAGCTGATGACCTAAACGATGCTGCGGGAGCCGCTGGAGTTGCGCCTGCGGGTAAGAGGCATGGTGTGGTGAAGGGGCATGGGTGAGTCGGGTGGACAGAATTGGTGGGGATGGTTGTAAGGTGGAGGAGGTGGCGGCAAAGGGGGTTGAGGCCCATCTCCCTCTCTGACACGCGCAGGTGTTGACAGGGCCGACTGGATGAGCTGATGGGTGGCCGGGCCTTGGCTGAGGAATGCCTCCATCCGTCCTCGCCCGCTCTGGTCCATGACAATCACCTTGACAATCTGCTGGCACTGGATGAGTGTTTCTGGGCGGAGATCTCCGGCCTGGACTGGGCTGAGCAGGGCAGGTGGCGCAGCCAGAGCCAGTGGCGTTGACTCAATGCTGGGCTGGCTCAGCTGATAGGTCTGCAGCCTGTTGTGAATTGACACCTAGTTTAGGAACAGTCAGAGAACGCATGAGGAGTTACCAGCCTGAACGCAGCCTCTACGCAGCCCTCTGGTGTGTTACGCACATGGGCATGCAGGCATGCAGGTAGGTAGTATGTAGAGCGAGCGCATGCAAAACACACACTCTCATTTTCTCTTGATCATCTCTTCGATGATTTAAACTTGAGTTCACATATTTACACGCACCAGCCTAGGAAGAGAAGAGGGTTGCTGGGTAAGACGAGATTTTCTTAAGGAATTATGGTGGGAACCCTTTGGATTTTTTGAGTGTCGGAGTGCGACACAGGGAGTGGTCATTGAGTGGCAGACTGATAGGCTGAAAGATAAGGGAGTGCCAGACGAGGAAAGAGGTGACACCGAGGGCGTGGTGTCTCCCTAACACAGTGACTTACAAATCTAAGGGACTGATTGAAAGGGAGGAGAAGGGGGCTGGGAGTACGGGCAAAGGAATAAAACAGAGAAAACATCTTCTTTCACTTCGCCTACTTACAGGAAGGGCTGGTTGTACAGACATGCACACACTTACCCACACACACAACAGACCTTTAACAGTATCAAGCTTATCTGGCTTTGTAGATGTATTCTTGGAGCCAGCCAGGCTTATGGTGGCTTGCAGTGGCTTATACAGTAAGGCTGGCAAGCAGCAATTGATGAGAGAAGGAATGCTATATAGCGAGTAGAGTGGCTGCTCATCTACTCATGAGGCACAGTGAGAGACAGTTTGTAGCACCACTACACCAGAGTCCTCTCAGCATCCTTTGTATCTATGGCTGCATAGTCAGGATGTGCCTCAGGTGGAGCTCTTTTAAAGCAAAGCATAAAGCGCACTTTCTTGTCAGGATGAGGCACAGCCCTTGTCCAACCACACACACGCACACACACATATAAAAACCACACCCACAGAGCTGCAGACGCAGATACTTACCTGAGGGAGACAAGAGTAGCTTTGGCACTCACCTCTACTGTGTTGTTGTTGCCGGTTTTATCGTACGCATCCTGGCCTGTGGGGGAAAACACAGGCAGATTTCAGCTTCACATACAGAATTTCGAAAATGTCAGAAACAGACTCTCATACAGGCAACTGTCATTCAGTTAAAAAATGGTTCATGAATATTTTTTTAAAATACATTTTGCACAGAATCAACTGAACATGTCATGTTTTCATATTTTAATACTACAGTTTTCTCATAACTGGTAATATCCAAATACACCGTATCAGCACAAACGTCTGAGGCATTTGTGCTCAATCACAGCAGTGGACATGTTATGATGTGGGCTTGTTTTGCAGCCACAGGACCTGGGACCTTGCTGTCACTGAGTAAAGCATGAACTTCTCTGTATACCAAAGTTTCTAGAGTTGCTATGAGGCCATCTCTCCAACAGCCAAAACTGGGACATGCAAAAGAAAGCACGTCAGCAAATCTACAACACATTGGCTAACCCAGTCAAATTCCAGACTGCAGATAACACATGACTTCAACATATTTCTGTAAAATATAGTTCTTCAAGATAATGAATCATGGGGTGTACTAAGTTTTTCATATGAAAATTTTTTCCACAACTGTAATTGGCACTCTAGCCTCATCATTAACATATGACATTGGTATCCATCCTCTCTCTGAAAAAGGACCGTGTATTATAATTATTTATTGAATTAGAGACTGTATCAGATCTGAAAGTCTCTAACACCTGTGTACAATGTAAAAATGTCAATTGGACAATCTTTTTGAAGCTATTTCTTTCCTTAATATTTCAAAAGTGACAGTGATGGCTTTCTCACCAGCTTTTTCATGTACCTTTTCTCCAAGAACTTGTTCTATTTCCTATATTCCCCTGAGCAATGTTTGCATTATTATGAGTAATATATTCTGTGTTATGCTGCACAAGCAAAACCAGCACCTGAGGGAGAGCCGTGTCCTGTATGTGCATCCATTTGCCCGCCGTTAGTGTGTAAGCCATGTGGCTGGATGCCTTGTTGCCTCTCCAGTTCCCCTACAGCATGAGAAAGGGAAAGTTCAGTGAGCCGTACACAGGTTGATCAGTATTTGTTTACATAGATTTTGCAGATTTTGAGGATTTTCCTCCTTACACTGGATGTGAATCTGTTCCATCTCGTTGACCTCTGCGATTGACTCTCTGAGCTCTTCCGCAAACTTCCTGAGCTCTTCTCCACTTGGAGAGCAGAAACTCACCAGCTGCTTCTTCTCTGAAGTAAACGGGCTCATCATGGTGACACCATGGGCATAGACTGATGAGAAACCCCAACAAAGAGAAACAGAAGTGCTTTTACCATAACTGTGACTGGAAAAAACGAATGGATAATCCAATAATCAATATCTATTACAGATAATCTCAGCCTTTCTTTCTTCCTTCCAGTAACCCATAAGCTCTCTCAGTTCACACACCTTTTCTATTATCTTTCCAGATGGATTTAGTGAATTATTTGTGTTTATAGATTCTCAGAGCTTCACCAAGTTCACAAACCTTACTCGATGATGCACCCGAGGACTCAAATGTTGATAGGAGATTGACAGCACACATAAGAGATTGACAGTAAGATGCTCTTGTAGAACATAGACAACATCTTGATGAATGTACAAGCAAAATGCTCTTTCTTTAAAAACTTAAAAAGACTAAATCTTAAAAAGAATAAAAATATATCCTTCAGGATATCTACTGTAACACTGACAACAGCGTGTTAACACTGGTATACTGATGAGTGCTTGGCAGTTCCTTAAAGTATGGATCCTGACACTGACATTGACAGACAACAGTGCTGTGGATGGCTCAGCATTTTCCGGCACAGGGTGAAACTGCACTGGCAATAAATTGCTGCAGTGTAAAATGGCAGCTTACATTCATTGCTGAAGAGGTGAAACTGCATTCCTAGGAGACCCATAGCTTTACAGAAGGTGTATGAAGCAGAGCTTTTCTTCTTGGGACATAGCTTCAGGATCTAGAGACATACAACACGGAAATATGGTTGGTTGCATTTGGGCACATACTGCATGTTCTGAAATGGTTTCTAGTGCTTTTTAATGGTTTTTAAATGTTAAAATCTTACCAACAGTAGGTCATTGAAAAGGAAGACCTCTCTCTGGAGCTGAGACAGTTTCTGTTTGTGAGGTTTGTTGGCATCAGGCACCTCAAACAGACGACAGCAGCACACTAGACGTCTGTGGGGCACGGCGAGAATCTGGACAAGGTTAAAGAGATGAAGATGACAGCTAGCACAGAGCAGGGGATGGGCTGCAGCAAAATAATCCGTGATATAAGATAAAGAAGATTGTACAAAAAAAGGGCAGACAGCTCTCTCAAAAGACAAAAGGAAATGCAGGACTTGCACAAAAACGTGGCTATTACTCACAGTTTTTAGGCCCAGGATTGACTGCTCCACACGGCTCACATAGGTGACATGGTCTTCATTTGAGCGGAGCTCTCTCTGCTGGATCCTTTCATAAATACCTGCAACCATCTCTCTGGGGATGTCCGCTCCATCATCCACACCTGAAAGAAATGAAGGGTTCATGCAATGCATGAGTAGCCACCATACACATTTTAACAGATAGGTTTAACCCCTCCCCCCACAACCACCGCCAGCAAAACAGATTCAGACACAACATCGAATCTGACCAAATTATAACCTGTCTTTATTATAAACTGTCTTTACTTGTTGGTTGGATTATGTGATGGCCAAAGATGAATATATAACCCTTTCATGCATTGTGGCCACTACAGTGGACAGCTATTCAAAGGCTGTTTTCTTGTATTTGTATCAATGTTTATGGTATGCTTGCACATAAACCACTACATTGGACACTGATGTGTCATTCCATACCCTGCCACCCACTGGTCACCCAGTGGGCTGACTAAGTGGATGTGTAAAAGAAAACTCTTTGAAAATTACATGTTTAAAAAATGCAGTTCAAAAATCTTTTTTCATGCCTAAAAATACTTAAGAAAAAACCCTCACTGAGGTTGTCATAACTCATGTATGAAAGGGTTAATTTGGTTGGCCGTTCTCTACCCCCTTTTTTTGCACACTTACATCATATGTAAAATATCTCACCACCGTTGCAACAGTTATTGACTGTTGCATGCACTGTGCATGCAGCTTTGCACATTTGTACATTCAAGGCCATAGTTTAAAACAATATATACACAGTCCTTGTTTATTCCTGCAAGACTGAACATTGTCCTTGGTCAATGTGACAAAATAAATTACATTAGAAAGGTGACATCACCTTTGATATCCAGATTGAAGAGGAGATATCCACAAATGGTACGAGAGGAGATAACACAGGAATAGTATCAAGAGCACAGAGAAAGTCAGAGAATGGGGGGAAAAAATCCATTTTTTGATTTTTGGGTTGATTTCAGACAGTGAAGTCAATACTTGAAATCAGATACCAGATAACAGTTCTTTAGGCTGGAAATTAAATAAGCATCTCAAAAGTTTTGATTACTCACAGACTTGACTGTGACTCATTCTAATGTGCAAATTAATGGAAGTATTAGAGGGAAAAACACACGGAGGAAGTTAATGGGTGTCTTGAGATTGAGTGTAAACTTAACAATCTGAATTTCAAACTGTGTGGCTGTATCACTTTTACCCAACATTTTAATGCCAAATTAGTTTTATTCCTTTGTAGGATCTGAAGCTGTGAAATCAGAAAATGTGCCGTTATCGCAGTGTGTGTGTGCTGATATTGTATCCTGGCAGTTGTTCCACTATCACTGTGGAGCAGCACACTCAGCTGTAGAAGATAATATGAAGGAAAAATATGTAATGACTGAGAAATCGATTTTTCTGTTAACTAAAGGCACAAATAACAGTGAAATCCTTTTTCCTTAGGCCATTGTTGCCGTTAATATATGAATCTGCTGAACCTTTGGATGGAGACAACATTCAGAGCTATGGGAAGCTCAGCCGCGGCGATGAGTTGCTTCTGGAAAACCAAGCTCAAATCATTAAATCTCACGCTAAGTGAGCCTCAATTAAATGGGCCGCCGCCACGGCCTCTGGGGCAGCGCTCCGAGTCAAGGATATCAGGAATCTCTTCCCGCACTGATGATGGTTTCCTTGATGGTACCGAGCATAGGCAGCCAACCACAGCCTCTTTGAGTAATTTACTTCAGTTCAAGAAGCTGTCACTCACGGGCCTGATAGTGAGGTTGAAGTGAGGTCGATAAGAGAGTGCCTGCTGTAAAATTTTGACTTCCCCTGCCATCTGCTCTCTTTTTCATCTTCACCGTCATTCTTTCCACCACACCAATCCACTGTGAGTGATCTACAGTAGAGGGGCATGTATGTATAAACAAGTTTACTATTTATAACCAGTGCTCGTGCCCTTCTGATAAAACCACTTGCTATAAATGTTGAAACATGTCTGCAGCTCATTATGCCAGCCATGCCCACAGGGACAGTTAGCTCTCGCATGGCACGTAGAGTAAAACCTGTAGAAAAATACTCTCTGCCTCGCAGTTTGAGCACATTCTTACCTCTTAGGTTGCGTATGAAGTCATCAAGGCCCATTTTTCGCTGGGGTTTGATGTTGGGCGAGTACATGTCAGTGTTGAGGAGGACGACAGCAAAGGCCAGAATAAATATGGTGTCTGGATTGTGAAACTGCTGCACCACGTCAGGATTACACATACAGTACCTCTGACTGTGGAGGACAAAAAGGAGTTATATTTTTATATATTTTTCAGTGGAGGTCACACACTTCTCTGTTATGTATTTGAAAGCAGAGAACATTAAGCATTGCTGACGCAACAATACTGAAATCCTGTTTATTAGTCAGACAGTCCTGAGGAGTATTATTTCTTTTGACGGGATAGATTGAGGTGAATTTTTTCTAACAGAATGGCATTGCTACGTGTTTGCAAGACACCACAATTTTGTTGTCATAACAAAAACATCACAAAAATGTAATGCCAGATTTTAATACTTGTGTTCACTGCAGTGTGTTAAAAATGTCCTAGCAGCACAGAAATACATGGAAAAACTAAATGAAAAAACAAGATGATAATGATGATGACGTGAAATCACACTCAGATGCCAAGTTATTACATACACATGGATAATATTCATGCAGCATGACGTCAAAGTCCTGTTATGGCTATTTTTAACTTGCATTCATGCAATGTAATACGATGCATGGCTTTTTGATTTGGTGAGCCTATCGTGCACTCGTCAAGTGTAAAATTAACAAACAACATAAGAAATATATGCTCTGCGTTTATATATTTGTGTATGTGGATTTCTTACAAATACGGTGCTGTGCAAAAGTCTTGAGCCACCCCTCATTTCTTCTTTTGGTGCAAAGAAAATGGGAAATATGTGTAGGTGAAATGGGCAAGCACGAATGCAAAAACAGCACATGATTCAAAAACAGGGTTTCTGACAAGCTTGAAGGTCAATAATCGCCTTTATTCTTCAAAATTGCCGCACTCTCTTTGGCAAGCTTTCTTGTAATTTCTTTAAGTAGTCTTCAAGATTAGTGCTTCATGCTTCTTGAAGGATATTCGAAGCTCTCCTTTAGATTTTGTCTGCCTCTTGTTTTGTTCTCTGTCAAGATGATCCCACACTGCTTTAGTAATGTTGAGAACCACACTCTGGGCAGGCTGTTAATTCATGACTGGTAGTGTAACATGTTGTGTTTTTCTACCCAGGTATGTTTTTATTGCATTGAAATTGGAAACACTGCCAGGCTGAAAAGCAGACGTTGTATATCAGATGCTTTCCAGACAGTATTTTATGGTGGATGAAAATCTAATTGTACTTTTCTATGTTTATAATTTCATCAAGTTTTAGAAGATCCTAAACAAACCATGACAGAGCCTCCACCATGTTTTACAGATGGCTGTAGACGCTCGCAGTTGTATCTCTCTCCTGACCTCTGTACAATTAACAATAATTTGAACCAAATGTCAAATTTGGATTCATCGCTCTACAAGGCCTGCAGCCACTGATTTTCAGTCCAGTTCTTGGGTAATTTGCCACACCTCAAACTTTTCTTCCTGTTTTCCTTCCTTAAGAATGGCTTCTTGACAGCCATCCTTCCACTGAGACCATTTCTGATGATGCTCAGCAGTCAGGTTCACCGCTCAGGGCTTGTGTCAGTTCTTTTCTGAATTTTTCCTATTTCCTGGAAAAACAACTTTCAGATAGTGTTCAGTTGCTGTAGACTGATCAATTGGTTCTTTGATTGGTTACCTGTGATGTGAAGACAGAAAACGATTCATCCCTTGAGTTTTGTGCTTGAGGTGCATTTTTATGGCTTAATGACTGAAAATGAAAGTGGTCATTTACAAGGACTGAACTGAAAATGAGTGAAAAAG